TCACGTGTATGAGTTATGCATACTTTTATGTTTACAATACAATACTCACATAGCTTGGGTTTTTGTTTGTTCTAGGTCATTATGTTATTATATGTCAATGTTACTACTATGTGATATGTTGTTGTAACATCTATGGTGTGAAGCGAGTTGGGTGATGACAATTTTGATGATGTCGATGTGATGTCAGATGCTTGCTGGTCAAGACTGAGAAATGATGACGCGTTAGATGATTACGGAGGTGAGTTTCTAATGCTGATTATTCTAAATGATGACTCCAGTGATTTCTCATGATAACCGTTTAAAAGTTGAAATAAAATCAACAAATTTTAGAATTAAAATGATAATAAAACTGATTATAAATTGTACGATTATTTCATTGCGATAAAAATATCTTTGAAAATGCAGATCATAAGGTTGATAATGATAAAAATAATAATGATAAAATAGATAATGTTAGTAATAAATAAAAAGCCTAAAGATGTGCTTTGAAAATCTTTCACATGCAAATCGCAGTTGAGTTTGGAATAATTTTGGCGAATGATTTGTTGGTCACTTGACACAATAATACAAAGAATAATAATATTCTGAGTAAATTTGTTGTAACTTTCTGTTCTTTGTTATCTTATTAGTGCTTCTGTCGGTGATTTACTTGTGAAATTTATATTTTATTGTAATATTTAATTTTGACCTTGCAAAAGTAACACCTTTCCTACATGTATTTGTTTTCTCAATTAATATTTATATTGATATTATTATTGCAAATGAATTCTTTTCAATAACGCAATGATGTATGGAAAATAATATGATAACCTGCCTAGTACCATGACTGCCTGGACAAACGTCCAATGTCATTAACGTTTGGTCACTAGAATTTTCATCAATGAATAACAAATCGTTGTCTTTGTGACCGTGCATGTGTTTGCCTGTGTATTCGCATGTACGTGAACGTACATTTATGCGTTTGTATGCGTACTATACATACATATATTCATGCGTTTGTATGCGCACTGTAATGTACACGTACGCGTTATCGTAGATAGTGGGCGGTCATTTTGCTGGAGTCGTACTTAAGAAATTAATTACGATGGACAGTAAGATAAATGATCGCTGTTTGACCTTCGTTTCTTTCTGTGTGTTTGTATGTCTGTCTCTTTTTCTGCTTGTCTGGGTACCTATCTTTTTGTTTGTGTGTCTGTAAATGTGTTATTCTAATTTGTTTTTTGGAATGCTTTTTCAAATGTTGGTTGGTGTGTTAGTTCAGGGCTAGACAAATCTTTTGCCGTGAGGGCCGCATTGAGAATTATTTTACTTTTGAAGGGCCGCATATGTATTTTTTCGACCCGGGGAAGAATCTTTAAGATTTGTGGTTCTTTTATTAATCATAATGTCTGACTGACGACCCATTTTTGGCAAACAAGGCACACGGGCCGTAGTTTGTCCACACCTGTGTTAGTTGGTTCGTAAATGGCTTTGTAGGCATTAAATCAACATTACAAATTCTCTTTTATTTTGTAACCGACAATTAGTTATTTGTTTTAAAAATAATGCGTTTAAACGAACGGGGCATGTGTTTTACTTTTTTCGTCGATAATTCTAGGAACACAATCATTTCACCTAAAATGATATGTTGCTTTTTCAATTTCCTTTGTTTGCATTCATTTGTGTTCTGTTAATTTACGTTTAAATCGCTAGTTAATAACGCTTATGTGGTTGTACATGTGTATGGCATGATCGTATGAGTACGCTGGTATGATAGGTGCTGCGAAGTTTAAAATTTAAATAACTTATAAATTTTTAAGAAAAATAAAAATTTGTGATATAAAACTCAGTAAAATTTTAAAAGTTTGAATTAATGTTTGTTTTCATAATTAAAAACTGGCATTTGATGAAAGTTGATTAATTCAATCATGTTTTGACTCTTGTAGGAGCCCAGAACTACTTCAAATTAATTAAAATTATTTTAGAAAATTTTCAAAACATGCAAAATTAATTAAAAATTATTTAAATCATTTTAAAACAAATTCGGAGGCGGCAAGATGGGCGAGGCACTTTTTCCTGGATGTGTACGTGTGTGTGTGTGTACGTGTGTGCGTGTGTGTGCGTGTGTGTGCGTGCGTGAGTGTGTGTGTGTGTATGTGGGTTTGTGTCGTTGATACAATTAAAGAATTGTTTGTAAAAAAATTTCAAAATAATAAACTGCGAAATTTTTAAGAATTAACTTTTCAATCATTTTTACAAAAATTATTTGACCATTTTCAATCAAAGAACACAAATTACATAAATAAAAAACAAATGAACAATAGAAATTCTTTATTAAAATTTACATTGACAACATTTAAAAAGAAAAAAATATATTAAAAACAGCATGGACAATGTGGATTGGTCTGGAATCTTTGAATATCATTTGCTTAGTCGTTTCATTACCAGGACGGCCATCACTTCCATGATCACCAATATCATTTTCATCATTATACAGTCATCCCCATTATTTTTATCACCATCTTCGTCATCACCATTATCATCGTCGTTATTGGTTTCGTCATCATCATTGTCATATTCATCACCCACATAATTATTATAGCTATTATTATATATTTTTGTGAATAAATGGAATTAAATAAAATCACCTTGGATTTTATTATTGTTATCGTCGTCAGTATAATCTGTATCAACATCGTTATCATGATATCATGATATCACAATCATCGTTATTATTTTGATCGTTACTTCATCTCGACTTCGTTATTTAAAAATTTGTGACGTATCAATTTTATAAATAGCGGTTTATTTCGATGTTATATCATTTTGTATGTATCTATCATCATTACGTGGAGTTTCATCATCATCATTTATCACTTTCGTCACTAACACGGATACTACCATTTAGTGTCATCACCATCAGTCATTGTCATCGTCGGTACCATCATAGAAATCATCATCTTGTATCACCAACTTTACTAACATATTATTTTCATCATCATAATAACATTTAGTATCATGATCATTATCATGATCATGACCATCACCATCATTATTATCATCACCACCACCATCAACATCATCATCATCATCATCATCATAATAACAATTAGTATCATTATCATGATCATGATCATCACCATCATTATTATCATCACCATCGTCATCATCACCACCACCATCAACATCATCATCATCGTCATCACCAACATCATCATCGTCATTAAAGATGTTTTATGATATGTTGGCCAGTTATGGTTATTTGACCGATTCTCAATAGCCCTCATTATCTTTGTATAGGCTGTTTATTCTTTGTTTATACATTGTTTATTCTTTGTTTATACATTGTTTATTCTTTGTTTATACATTGTTTATTCTTTGTTTATACATTGTTTATTCTTTGTTTATACATTGTTTATTCTTTGTTTACACATTGTTTATTCTTTGTTTATACATTGTTTATTCTTTGTTTATACATTGTTTATTCTTTGTTTATACACTGTTTATTCTTTGTTTATACGTTGTTCATTATTTGTTTATTCAGTGTATGTTTATGTCTCGCATGCGTATGTTTAAGTTTTGTATTTTCGTATTTTATTTTCGCACGTTTATATTTTGTTTGTGTATGTATGTTTTATCTGCGTATAATTATATTTTTTATGTTTTTCAATGAATGAATTTGTTTATTTTCTAGTCACGAAATGCTAGATTTGTATTTCTTCGTATTGTAAATTAAGTTAATTATGTGCTTACATCATGCTCATTATTAATTATTATCGTCCACCATTATTTATTACTTATTCACATACATGTTAATTCACACAATCATCTTTATTTGCTACTATTTTCCATAAATTATACGTTTATAACGAATTCTGAATTGTAACACGATCAATTTATGTACACATGGCTTGCATACAAACATGCTCTAATATGAAGTTAACACAAAAGTCAACATTTTGAGACCAGCATATTTTTACAATACAGGTTTATTCAGGTGTGTGTATAAATGTATGCGTGTGTATGTATGTGTGTGTGTGTATGTGTGTATGTGAGTGAGTGTGTATGTGTGTGTGTGAGTGAGTGTGTGTGTTGCGTACATAGGCCAATATGTAAATGATGAAACGTGTTAAAATATGAAAAAGATGATGGAGTAGGTAGTAGGAGGCAGTATGTTGTTCAGAATGTTTGGATGGTTTAAATTAAGCGAAGCATTAATCACCGGTAACGAACAACAACTATTCAGGCGTTTAATAGTGTTGCACGTAATTGACGAAGACGATGATGTGCTGAGGTGATATGGTGTTGTGATTGATGGTGCCGTGATGGTGATAACTGGTGGCGTTTTGATTGGCGGGCGATAATAATGGTGAAATTATCGGTGATAATATCATAACGACGATGATAATGAAAATTAACATCAATATTGTCGATAAACTGACGACTGAGAAGATGACTGGATGGGATAGTATGACGTGACGATGAATATTTTAGTAAATAATTATGGTAATTAACTTTTAAAATGTGAATGGTGATGACGATGACATGGATGAAATTAATGACAATATATCAAAATGAAAAATGAATGGCTACGCGTAACTTAAAAACTGACAAAAATGTTAAAAGATCATCTGCTAAAAATCACACAGATAGAATCGCTTCGTCTTATACACATTTTAAAATCAATCCTTGAACGTAAGTGCTGCAAACTAACGAACACAAGCTCTAACAACTAAACTATAATAAACAGGACATACCCTTTTTTGACAGAAACTTCACAAATAGGTTAGTTTTATATTCATTTTTTTATCATATTTGAAGTTAAAATTTGAAAATAGGAATTTTAAGTTAGAAAGTTTCCCTGTCAAAGTAGAGCGGATTGTACAAATTCTTTGAATTATTATAACATTTAGAATCTTTTTATACTGACGTCATCAAATTTTTCAAAACATAAACAATCCCTGTTTTATTCACAGTAATATTTATTATTTTTTAATATATTTCTTGAAGCATCTTAACAAATGAACATGGATGAACAATATGGGGTTAGGTTGCTAATTGTATATTCTATGTTTAAAATTTCAAATGAACTCGAATTGAATAGTTGGATGTTTAAAACTAGGAATGTAACAATATTCATCCTAACACAATTAGGTAACAATCACAGTTGGAATGATTTTGAGCAGAGGAACGATAAGATCGGTAGTTAGGAGGTTGCTACTGACGCTCATTCACCTGCTCATTTCAATCGCGCTGGACGCCTTCATACAGCTGTTTTTCGAGATCATCACATTTGAGAAATATGACAGAGTACATCAATTCGAATGGGACGTTTTCATCGTTCGGGCTATCTTTTCTGTTTTCATATTCTTCTACGTTCTCACACCTAGTAAGTACAAACCACGTTTTATTCGCGACTGACTGACTGACTGACTGACTGACTGACTGACTGACTGACTGACTGACTGACTGACTGACTGACTGACTGACTGACTGATTGATTGACTGACTGACTAACTGACTGACTGACTGATTGATTGATGATTGATTGACGACTGACAAACAAAAACCTGCCGTTCGAACATTTCGGTAAATGTTTCATTAAAAATATCTCCCCAAGAATGCAGCATGAAAGAGATTGTCTTACATTCCTACATGCTGACCCTGCTACTCTATTTTATTTTTCCAGTTTATTGGAGCAAATTTATCGGTTGGATCCACGGAATGATAACTTATTTTCTGAACGCAGCTGTGTTCATAATAAAATTCGGCTTATACCATCACAGTGAAGTGACTGTTTATTAATTTGACTTTGCAATCACCTTATGCACGTTTATGTAATGCATTCCAAAAGAACTTTTTTTAATATCAAGATTAATAAAATTCTGGAAACACTAAAAAAAATTTCAGAAGATGTACTAGATTTCAAATGATCAAATGTTATTCTGTTGACCGAACGACACTAAACTACAAAAAAATTGCCCTAACTAGTTCATATATTCAAAAGCTAAGATCTATTTGAGCTGACATTACATTCAAACATTTTGACAAGGACTAAATAGTTAAGGAGATTCACATATTCAACAACTATCGATACAACAATCTTAACTTGTTGGAGTCCCAGTAGTTAACATGAACAAAAACTGTCACTTTTAACGCAAAAAATGAAAATATGAATATTTGACATTTTTCTGAACTATAAGAAATAGCATACATTATAAAATTAAGTTGGAGTGGATGCTATTACACAGCAGCAGCAACAAGAACTTTTTATGTAACTTGAGACATTTAGGATGCGACATTTCTTTAAATTTAACTCTAAATACGATCCCGGATATTTATATTACGTTTTGTAAAAGTTGCCTATTAACATAAGACATTCACGAACAAAAAACTCAGACACTGCAATAAAGTAAAGTGCAGTGCAGTACACTGCAGTACAATTACAAATAAACTGTACGTTCATCTCGTAATGATGATTAGGATGATGGCGACGATAACGATGAGAAAGATAATAACAACAACAGCAACAACAATAATAATAATAATCTAACGCGCATGTTGTGTTGGCCTTGCTATAGAGTTCCTCGTAATTTTCCTTGGTCTGTCTGTCAAGAAACTTAAGAAGTTGCCAACTACAACGTTTTGTTGATTTCAACCAATAGTCCGTTGCGCAACTTTTGTTGATGTTGTGGTTGTTGTTGCCGTCGTCGTTGTTGTAGATGTCGTTGTGGTAGAATGATTCATCGTTGTTGTTGTTGTTATTGTTGTTGTTGTAATTGTTGTTGTAATTGTTGTTGTTGTGGTTGTTGTTGCCGATGTAATGATTGTTGTTGTTGATGTGTATGTTATTGTTGTTATTGTTTTTATTGACGGCGTAGTTAATATTTAGTTTATTGATGACGTTGTTGTTGTTGTTGTTATTCAAGCTTTTTCCTGTCGCACTGGTGATGGTTGTGCCTAAGGATAAGGTTGTTGGAGTGTTAGGAGTGTTTGATGTGTTTGCTTGATGTACTTTTTACGGAATTGTGGTTGTAAAAGTTGTTGTTGGATTGAAATATTTTTGTGGAGATAAAATTTTCAGCTGGAAAAAAATTTTGTTCACGAGTTATTTAGTTACGAAAAGGAGAAAAGTTTTTTTTTCAAAATAAAATTAAAAATTCATGTTAACACACGGTCAGATGAACAAACAATTTTAACACGTCGCCTGACATTATCATTAAACTTAATCACTCTTATCTATCTCATCACCAACATTAATCCTCACCATCATCATCATCATCATCACCATCATCATCATCAACACCATCATCATCATCGTCATCATCATCATATAACACGACGACCACCACCATCATCTTCATCAAACTTCTTCTCGGAAGACATTAAAGGTAGGTTGAACGCTTAACCATCAGTGAAAAATAATGAAGCGACTTGGCAGTTCATCACCAATGAAGAAAAATCAAATCCAGTAAACATTTTCATGGAACATAAGTGGTAAGCATTTGAAATAATATAACTCAGGTGTGTATGTTATTGAAAACAAAGTGGGTAAATAAATAAATGCGTGTTTCATTGAACTTACATGCCTACTCTGCTTTAATAGCTTTTTAATAAAAATCTCAGCACAGCGTAGTTTTTTGTACTCTGGTTTATTTAAGTTTTCATAAGTTTGTCGGTCGACAGCTCTGTTTCGGCTAAGTAGCCATCATCAAAACCAAATTTTACACTGAATAATTTATAAGTATTAAAATCGATGAAGAAGGAATTAATATCGGAATAAATAAATAAAAACAGGGGCAATAAACAAAGTTATAAATGAATTACACTTTGACATTTTACTGGAATATGAGATTTTGATTTTGAATTTATTAGATCTACACACACACACACACACAAACACACACAGTCACACACACAAACACACACACACACTACACACACACACACAAAACCAAAACACACACACAGACAGACACACACAACACACACACACAGACAGACACACACAACATACACACACGCACACACACATACACACTTACAAACACACACATACGATCAAACAAGCGGACGAAAAAACTGAAAATGCATTTAATCAAACGTTTGCTTAGTTTAGAGGCGGGCAGGTATGAAGACGAACCATCAACCAAGAGAAAGAGAATAGAAAAACAACCCATTCAAACCTCGATCAAATAATTGTTTATCCTATTAATAAATTCTTAATTATATAATTACCTACATTATTAATATTTTCAAATTCAACTCAAGTCTTATTCTAGGACACAAGAATTATGAATTACGAACTATTAAAATTGATTTGAATGAAACAAATAAAAATAATTGAGACATTTAATCTATAACTGCAAAAAAATTTTACAACATACAAAAAATCAACATACAAACACCACAAAAATTAACAATAAGCAAAAAACTTAAACACTAGAATACCTAAGTATAAATGGTAGATAAATGAGCCTGAACAATAGAATACATAATCATAAACATAAACAATAGATACATAAACAAAAAACTGAACCATAAACATGGACTATTGAAAATCACAGTGCATCTTTAGCAATAACCGTAATGAACAGACGTAGCGTACAACATAAACAATTTACACGATACATTATGCACAGCATATACAAAATATACAACATACAATGTACATAACATACAATACACATCTGGACATAAAGAATCGTCAGTATAAACGTTAAACAATAAAATACCGTATATACCCAGGTACTTACAAACTCAACGAAGTTAGTGTACTTTCATCTGTTTAGATGCAGCTACACACGCATGCATGCATACAATAAACATAAATAACTAATCGTGTCAATAATTCACATGCATTCATACAGACTGCGACATCTTATAACAAACATTATCAAAACGAGACGATACAAAATTTCATTTAGTAAAATTTATTTCTTAACTGATAAGAACTGATTAGAGAACTGATAAGAGGGAACTTAAAAACATTTATCTGGTCTAGCCACACAAACCAAACTTTAATGACATGTAAATTGATAACAATATTATAGAATTGCACACACACAAACACGTACACACATCACTGCATACAAACAAACCCACATGCACACATGAATGTGTTTAATATCCACATATACATCAAAGGAATGAATCGATATGACAAAATCTCGGATGAACTAATGACAGTTCCAACACTATACACTACAGTAGGTCACACACACACGTACATAATACAAACATACTAAAACCCATACATACATACATATGTACATTTACACATACACACACTTACACACATGGGTGTATGAGTGTGTGTGTGTGTGTGTGTGTGTGCGTGTGTGTGCGTATGTGTATGTGTACATATGCGTCGTGTGTTAAGTGTGGACTAAGCAAAATATTGAATTTGCGTTCCAAGAATTGTTTTGTTTTGCTGAAATATTTGGCCTTTGTGAATGTTGAAACAAGCGGACGAACAAAAAACTTCAAAGTTCACTTTTAAAATAATACCTGAATTTTTAAAATTAAAAAAAAATAAAATAATTTAATATTCATAATATATTTTATTGTTTCAATATTTTATACATTGTTATTTGTTGTATTGCGATGAATGCATTAAAAAATGATACGTAAGAAAGTTATAAACCTACTCACGAGCAAAATGAATTTTAAATTGCAAAAACCTACTTTTGAAATTCAATTTTTAATTTATCAAATTAATAAATAATGAAAAAAAAACAACATCTAAAACTTAAATTAAAATGTTCATAATGGCCGGTGGGAATAACGAATGAAAGACTTGGAGCTGCATTTGTGTTGCTCAGTTAGCATTCCTTCAAAGCGTTCCTTTAAACATTTTTCAAATTTTAAAATTAAGAAATTTTATGACAAAAATTAAATTAAACAATAAATTTAAAACATTTTAAACATATTTTTAAAATAATTAAATTAATTTTTGAATAAATAAATATTTAAAATAAAAAAAATGAATGAAAAAATTGCGCAAGAATGCACGCACGTATGTATAAAGCGTTTGCTTGGTGGGCTGAAAACTTTTCAAATAACTTTCCCTATTGAGACCGAAGAATTAATGGTGGTCACGATTATGGTATCGGTGATGGTGGTGTGGGTGGTGATGTTGACTGTGATGATAATGATGTTGGCGAAGACGATGATGATGACTAAGATGATGTTGAGGCTGATGCTGATAATGTTGCCGGTGGTGATGACCGTGATGACATTGATGATGATGACTGTGACGATGATGACGATGACGATGATAATCAATAACACAGATGAGGATATTGAAATTTATAATTAGGACACATTAAAACTATCCATATAAAGTTAAAATAACACACAAATCGTGTAACAAACACATCAATTAATGCACACATTAATTAACACACACACACACAAAGTATTACACACACTCAAACTATCACACACACACAAAATACCACTCAAACACACACACACCACACACACACACACACACACACACACACACACACACACACACAAAGTATCACACACACAAAGTATCACACACACAAAGTATCACTCAAACACACACACACACACACACACACACACATACACACACTGGCATGCAGAGAGAGTAGCATAAATAATCCTGAAAAAGATACCAGAGCTTTCATATTCTTAGTGGCTTTGCTATTGACATGATGGGCGCCGCGTCTATAAGCTACCAGCATAACAAATAAGCCGTTGTGTTTTTGTGCAGGGCTATCAAATGATGGTGATAATGGTGGTGATGTCGTTAATGATGATGATAATAGTGA